ATGTGGGGCGAATCCCTGGAAGATGAAAAAGTGTTTGCAAGAGTGAAATATTCCATAAAGAAAATCAAAATTTTATCACAACTACAACTCATACCTAAACACAGAAGGAGTCTCGCTTCTCGCATAAATCTACACCCCAAAAGTGTATATATTTAGGAATTTCCCACCCTCGTCGCATTGCCTGGGACAAAAGACACCCACAGAGTGTGAAAAAGTGAGGAAAATTGCAACTTTTTCTCCGAATTTTTCCCCACATTGAGCAACATCCGTTGACATTTTGGAATAGTAGTGTATATAGAAATTTATCAAAACTAATTGATGCTGCGCAGAAGAAAAATCTCCCACAGATCTTAATAGTTGCTCCCTCGTTTCCACTAAATTACTCGAAACTACTCACATATGGCGCTTCCGCATTCAGAATAACATTGGAAATCTTGAAGCGGAATCTTTTATCAAAATGTAATTTATCTCCCGAGTAGAATTGCGACTAGTGGAATTCTAAATTGACAATTAGAATTGTCCATCGAATGGCAATCTCAATAGAATTTTGTGAATTAAGTGTGGGCCAAATGACCAACACACGCCCTGAATATTTTCTCCATTAGGACACAATAAAATTACTTATGCAACATCCTTCACATACTTTGCGTCCTTCGACACTGTTGGGGTGGTTTTGAATGCCATATATTCAGGGGATAGTTTTCCATTTATCACCCAATTCGTGCAATGGCACATGAGTTCTCATGTTAGTACTCTCTCTCTCCACTTTGGTGCCACGTTTGCAGAAAAAAGAAGCAGAAAATTTCGTGGAAAATCCCTCTATTCACCCACACAATCTTGGACATTCCACCGCCCCCATTTTAAAATGCGATACGATATTCCTCGAGTGAGAAATCCCTCTGCCACACGAAAATCCTTCAAATGGCTGTATTCTTCTTCATATGCTTCGCTCTCCTTAGTTGATGTTTTAGCATGCAAAAAGGCAGCGTCAAATGGCTCTTGGGTTTGGCGATATGGTGTGGGAATGGGTGAAGAATGGGGCACCATTGTCTCTCATCGTTGACAAAATTCTAACATTGTAACTCTTGGTGAAATGATAGAAATCTCCTTAGCAACTGCGATTTCTTTCGCCTCACCATCCGCCCCGTGGAGGGCAAAAAAGGGAAATATCTCATCGGGCGAGTGAGATTTTATTTCAAAGGGGGTTTCTTGAGTGTGTATCCCAAAAATCTTGTCTCGTGTCAGACGAGTTGCTGAGGAGTTCGCATGGTATGAACCAGAATGCCTCGTCGGAGTCATCATGAGACTGGTAATCCCAAATCAGAGTTGATTGTATTGACAGGTCGATTTGAAGTGACATGCAAGCCACAAACTCAACATTTCCGCCTTGAAAAGTTCTTCCTGCCTCGCTGGTGTGTCGATGTTGTGCTCAGGATCCAGATACTCTTGCAACTTTTCCATTCATTCGCAGATGACAGCAGGACTGCGATGGATCCGTGAAGACTCTTGGAAAGTTTAAAACTCCCTCCGAACTGAGGGCACCTCAGTATATGGCCCATAAAAACGATTCCCATCGATGGGCAGCCCTTGAATCCATAGGAAAAACCTCTGCGAAGAAAGGATAGAATATGAGACAACAGTCGTATAAAAGCCTTTACATCAATTCCCACAAACATCCGTGGCACATGGAAGAAATCTCAGTTTCTAGAAACACTCAAGCACTCTTATCTTCCGGCCATTTTCGTTCTTGTACAATGGGCGGGTGGTGGGATGGAAAGTTGTTCCTGCGGATATCTCGCAAAGGGTGTCCCTTCTTCTCTGCCACCTTATCCTTATCTGACACGCCAGGGAGACACACAAAGACGACAGAGTGAAAAAGGAAAGAACGCATGGTGAGCGAGAGAAAATTTAACGATTATTATTATCATATTGTTTTTTTCTGGCCCCTCCTCGGCCCCACCCGGAAAAAAGTCAAACACGGAGTGAAATGTTGAGCACCGAGTATCAGTGAGAGGAACAGTGTAATCTCTCGTGAATGTGATTCACAACTTCCTTCCAGACATGATGCTTTTTCCCTTTGAAGAAATTCCCCCCGGAAATTCGACAGAGCACACCGCAAAACCGCGCTCTAAATTAACCGCCCATTGTTCTCCCCGTTGTCACTCTTATTATCCGCGAATGGGGACTGAATGAGGAGCCATAAAGAGTGGTGATACACCAATTATTACCATAACTTGTGGCTGTATTTGCACTTAATTGTAAGACATACAATTTTCACATTTTCCCCATTTCTTCAATAATTTCGGGAGTGTGAAGTGTGTAAAGTTGGTGCCATGAATAATGGAATTTTTCCAGAGGGGCTCTCATAAGTAAGAATACTGTCATTAACACTTCGCGGCATGCAAAATTAGGCGAAATTGTGATTATATTTCACAGAATTTAACGCAAATTAAATAGCTACAAAATAACCACAATAATCACTTCCTATTCGCTTCTCTTCCAGAGCGATTGTCTAATGAATATACTGCACCATGTGTGCTCAAGCTCGCCTAATGATAGCCCTCCTTGAAAGTTTCCTCGAAAAATTGCCAATGCTCTGCCAAGCGAAGGATAAACAACAATAAAAGATATGGTTCTCAAAGAGGCACAGAAACCACAAACACACTCATGGAAAGCCTCAAATGTTTTTCCACACATAGGGAAAATGTATATGATGTGGTTTTACCCCAATGCGGCGGGGGTATGATTTTCCTTCTCCTCACCCACACCATGAGAGCCACACACTTCGCGAAAAGAGGAAGAATTTCCATCACCTTTTCCACATGTTTTCCAAATTGTAGCACTTGTGTGTGAATTTAGCACGCTCACCCGCGCACCCCCGCTCGTGAGGGTGGCTCCGGCACATGAGGGCATGAGCTTGGGGACGGAAGCGACACACTAAAGTGGAGTTGAGTGTGAGAGGCAACGCAACCTGTTGATTGTGTTTTCCAATACGATTTCAAGCTCGATCAATTCCAATTTTTCTCTACTCCCACACTTCGACATTTGGAAATATCTGAGAGTTCTCTGAGTGTGTGGCGAATTGTGTGAATTTTCGGCCTCACTGAGAATCCGTCTATGAATGTGTAAATAAAGAAATTTCCTTCCGGTAATGATATTTGCGACACTCTTCTTCGTGGCTGAGGAGAAGGAGAAGAATTTGTGTGAGAAGTTGAGAGATGCAATAAATTGAGGGATATACTTTGCCTGCCATGCCTTGTGTTTACTCAAATGGTGAGAATATGCATTTAAGAATGGCTTCGCTGAAGGGCTCCGAAACTTCAAATCCCATTGGCAGGCAGGATTACGTCTTGAGGGGTGTTTCTTAAGGCAATTTGTATACCTGGTACCTTTTTTGCCCCTCTCACACACGTTTGCGACTTCCAAAGAGACTTTGGATGCCAACATATGGCCAACATATGCGTTCTTCAACTTGTTTTTCTTGCCATTCATCTTTGTTTCGCACACACCACAGAAGATACTGTCGGACCCTCTCCAGAGCCCATAAAAGACTTCGGGCATTCTTCACAAAAAGGTGTAGCTCGAACGCCAAATTTACCTTTTACTCGTGAAATCCAATTATATAACTTCCAGTGAGGAGAAAAATAGCTCTTCTCGAGTACAGAACGCCACGGCGCTTCGGTGAGATTTATTTTCTGGTGCTGCCGCACGAAGGGTGGCTTGTAAAGTTGTACGGGATCTCACCTTGGGCTCAGACGGCACATCTGATCGGCAAGAAGGGCCTCATGAATTTTTGTGAATGAATCACACGGTACTTTCGGGCAATTTGAGTGCCTGTGCAAACTTAGGGACATGTGCAGTGAATGCGTTTGAGCGTAGTCAGAAAATCTCGGCACCATATGCGACCCACACTGAGGGATAAATCGTGCAAACCAGGGTGTACTGAGGTGAGAGTCGATTGTCGTGCAATTGATGCAGTTTCCAACCCTTGATAGGATGGCAGGGAGCAAAAAGGCCTGCGGCAGCTCACAGTTTTCACATTGATTGAGGTGAGTAGAGCCTGTGTGTCCCTTCTCCGTGGAAAAGCAATCATTATGTAGGATCCGTGCCATTGTTCCTGACCATTTCGCCCATTCTTTCACCCTCCGCAGAGAGACGAGCGGGATCAGCTGTGTGTATTTTGCCACGCGACTCACCCTTCATCCCAGGCGACCCTCGTGAAAATTCCCGCCGCAACTGCACCTTGCCATCGAGGAGGGAAGCCCACTTGGTCTCTGATTCACTCTCACCTCAGCATCCCTTCGATAGCGCGTCTCTTCCTCTCATCGGGCGAGGGGCTTTAATCCGACTGGATGAACAATTGAACAAATGGCATTTAAATTTTAAATCGACACACGGTGGTCTACTTTGAGCAGAACCCGGCTTTTTACCTCGCGAAAATGTGCGTCAAAATAGAGAGGGTTCGACTAGTAAAAGGATGCAGAATGAGGTGGTAGATTTCAGTGAAAATTACCCTTCGCTGGTAAATTTCCACCAACGAATCCAAGTTGGGATCAGATTTCAGAGAAAAACAACCGTTTCATCCGTAGTATGAAATGTCTTATTGCCAAGAATTGTGAAATTCTAGTAATTACATTTCACGAAACAATCGATCCGTGAGATTCCTAATCTGAGATTAATCATAGGGAAAACTGCAAGATAGGGTGGAACAAAAGTGGACTAAAAGGTGTTCCTTTGTTCAACACCCCTTCTCATCTCATAGTCCATTATTCCGCCAACAAATGGAATATGATTTCATCCCAGCAGTGCACTTCATGCGCCCGCTTACAGGGTGTAGATGTGAAAATCTCGTGGTCAAACACTGGCGATGTTCTTGCGCGAGCATTTGCGATTAGAGAATAAATTAAATTCCGCACATTTTGAGAGTTGAGTTGCCACATATTAAGCTACTATCTTATCAGTTTTTGTGCATATTACGTGGTTTATTTATTGCTTTCTCTTCTCTATGTATTTGTTATTTAAAGTGAACACAAATGATAAAAAGGTGACTGTAAACAATTTAAAGTCCTCCACAGCTCAAAGTCCATCCCACCAGAGTTTACTTTATTGCCTCTCCAGTTTCTCTACACACAACTCTTTCGTTTTCCGAGGTACACGTCAATCAATTGGGAATTATCTCTGACCACTCGATGACTCCCATTCCTCCTTTGTGTGCTTGTGATTTCACATTTTCGCCCTGTCCAGCTCGTGGGATGGATTGATGGACAAAAAAATTGACCATTGGAGATCAAATTTCTCTCTCTTGTAGCCTCATCAATTGCTCCCCACACTGATAAATCTGCTCAACGTGGCCTTCCACCCATGAATCATATAGGAGACTTTCCACCGAGAGTGAGATGTGTGTGCCTTGCCCTCCCCAGCCTGCTCCGCACAATTTTGGTGGGGAGACACGGCGGATCGTGCAAATAGGAAAAATTCACTGGGGGACATTTGTGTGGTGAATTTCCTCCGTGCGGAGTCACGCCGTAGCGGGGATTGTGCTGTGGGGAGCGCGAGAACCTAGCACCTGCACTTGCGCATCGCAGCGTCACCCTGTCTCCTCGCGCGCTCTCCCGCACACAGCGAAAGCCACTCTCAGTGCAGCATCACACGACGAGGCAACCGTGAATTCATTCTCCGCCGTCCAATCGCCTCACAGGAGGCAGTGTCGAATTCAGGGGGCAACGCGAAGCGGGAGAGAGTGTGAAGTGTGTGGTGAGTATCCGTGAGTGTGCTGTACGGGCACGGCGGAGAGCGGGGAAGGCGCAGTGGCGCAGTGTTGGTGAGAGAGGAGACGAGCTGTATGTGGGAAGTCACCCTATGCCGAGAGAGAGAGGTTCAATTGTGTGTACAAAAGGCAGAGAAGTGTGTGATGAAAATGCCGAGAAAAGATTGCGTTTCGTACCTTTCCCAAACGGTTTTCGGTATTTTCAAATAGTAGCGACTCAAACGTCGCGGCGTTAACACGTTATTTTTCTATTATCCTCCCGGATATACACTCAAATTCACTCTACACTCTCACTATTAGGCCACACTAGAGAATCCGTGAGAAGGAAATCACTTGTCCGCCACGGTCTTAAGATTTTTTTCCCCGAGAGTGCCACAGAACTGCAAATTGAGTGCGTGAATTTTGTGGAAAGAAGAGAGTTTTCTTTTGCGTGCATTTAAGCATCTTCTGCCTCACCTGGATGGACTTCTTCAGCATAATTGACACTTTTATTGAGTTCCTGCGATGATTTTGCAAAGTGACGAAGAGACAATCTGGTGGATCACCACAGAGCATTGCTAGAACAAATTACAACAATTTGCCAACGAAAAGAAAGCACTGAGTGAATTGCAACAGTGAACAGTAAATTGAAGCATCGAACAAACAACGAAGATTTGTGATAGAACAAGTGAAGAAAGAGACGATCTTTTGTGAATTGCAGACATTTGGTGAAGAGCTCACAAAGTCCTCTCTCTCTCATAAATTTGTGCGCAATTATTCCGAGGGTGGTCGCGGCAAAGTCGATGAGAAGTCACGGGTGAGATGATGATGGGTCACGCAACATCCAACAAGTCAAAGTGATTTGTCTTTGATCCACAAGAGTCGATTTCTCACCCACAAAGTTGCGAATCTCTGCCCGAAAACCAATGTGTCAGTGCTTACGGTGATTGTGAGATTGTGCAATTCAACAAAGGATTTCAAATGTTGTCTTGCCTGGTGCCACGTTTCGCCTCCGAAGACAAGATAATGCCATCATCGAGTCCATTTGCATTGCAGTGTAGGTTGATCAATTTATCCTAATATAATTTCTCATTTTGTATCAATTTTCCTTCATTACACCACCAATTTAACCGCTCGCATATGGGCTTGTCGTGGAGTGTGTGAGTCTGAAAGTGCGATGGAAGAGGTAGCAAATGCTTGTCTCCTGCAGAGGAAATTAAATTGTCATGCTCCTCCGTAGGCACGGAGAGGCAGATGACGAGGAGAGAGGCTGAAATTGTTACCCCACACCTCGATACAAGACTCACGTTTTTCCACTTTGACTTCCATAAGGCATTGAAAGTTGAAACATCTCTAAAAATACTCGCCATCTTGGTGAGGTACACATATCGAAGATGCCTGGAGGATGAAGAAAGAAAGAATGACTTGATGCTCGCTGGCAGACCAATAAAAAAATGATCTGTGTGGAAGATAAAAAAGAGAGATATGTCAAGGAGAAATCCAAAATGGTTGGGAGTCTCTTGGCGTGTGTGTGTATGGCAGTGAGAGACGAATAGTGTTACCTTTTTTGTCAATTTGTGAATTTTGGCAAAGATGTTCTCTCTTTTGGCCTAACTTGACTTGTCCCGCATCTAAAAATACACGCACGAAGAAGGGAAAAAAGACACACATTCTGATATGCACATTCTCAAAAATGTCTTCGTTCTTTTCTTCCCTCCTCATGTCGCCACTCGATCATCACAGCATGTCGAAATTGCAACATAAAGATATGTAACAAATGGCACAATTTGGCTTAGGCGCTTCTCCACTTCTTGGGCCCAATTGCGTGCCTCTCTTTGGACCTCTTTTAAAATGACATCATCCACCCAATTCATGCAATAAAGGCAACACACACTCACAATTTGACGACAAAATTACAAATGACTCATCATTATTCTCATCACAATTGATGTTAGGCGATTAAGTGCAATTAAAAGGCACGGAGAAGGATAACTCTCCAATGCACTGCGGACAAATTTACCTCTTTGAGGCCTACAACGCGTACTTACCACCTTTTATCTCTCTATTAATAAACCCTTCTGGCACAGTCTTCGTCACGTTCAAATGCCAGCGAGAGCAAAAAGGATGCTAAGTCTTTTAATTTAGAGTAAATTGTGCAATTATTTGGAGCTGAATTGGTGAGACGAGGTGAGGTGTGATGTGCGAAGCGATGGATCTATTCAAATCCATTGTGGTCAGGTTAATACGGATCTCCTTTCGTTGCTATATAGCGCACACAGTTTAAAATTAATTGTGAGCTATTGTGAGTTTGCTGTAAGTGGTTTCGCTGTTTTAAATTTCATCAAATTCCCTCCACACACTGTGACTGTGCGGCGGATTCAGGTGTGGAAAAATGGCTTTTTCATCAAAATATCACGCACTATCGGATAGAATATCGCTGAAATGATTTTTCATTATTGTTTTGCCTACAATCCACGTTTCTGCACTGTGTTTGCTCGCTTCTATTGTTCCAGTACCACTCAGTACAGTACAGTGGGACTTATTCGCTTCAATTTCTGCCAATGAGTGTCATAAAAGGCGCCGTGTGACTCTTTCTGCCAATATTATTCACTATACAAATTGGTATTTGAGATGTTTTCTCTTGAATTCTTGGGCAATTCAAACACTCCAAGCCTAATTTATGGGCGGTCAAAAAGTATTTGGATGTTTTTAATCATCTCTCAACTGGCCTGAATGCTTCAGCTCTGAACATTCTATGGTGGTCGGAGTTTATAAATTGGACTGTTTCAAAATACCCAATATATTTGTGTGTCTTCCATCATGACGCTGGTCAATCGGAAATTTGACTAGAAAAAAAACTATTCTACTTCCAAACAGGAATCGAACTCACAATCTTCCAGCAACCAGCAATGATGCATTCTCTCTCTCTCTCTTTATCCCTTTCTGTCCCTACACGTAATTTGTGTCATTTTCAACTTTGAACTTTTTTTCGCAACGTGCTCGACAAATAAAAAGTTATTGTTTCTCGTTGACTGTTCAATTCCGAGCATAAGAGGTGAACTTTGTTGCACATGCTCTTCCATCCCTGGCACATTGAATTGTTTACAATTTTCAGTATGAAATTTACTGCTTAATAATTGTATCCGATATTGTGTCGCGCAGAGGGGCCAGAGAGTGAGGCTTCGATGGGAAGACAATGTAAAGTGATAAATTGGCAAATAACGTGAAGAGTGGAGGAGAAAATTTCATTGGCAGAGTCGATATGGAGCAAAATGGGTCTGCTGAGGGATAAACTTTCCACACGCGCTAGAATATATGTTTTTACTCGATTTAGTGGATGCTCCGGTGGCGGGATGGGGGCCTAGAGATGAGGAGGACACGCCATTTGGTGGGCTCAATTATGGCCAGTCAATGGTATTGCTTGGCTTGAAATTAGAAAGGCTTCACCGCACGATTAGTTGGTCACAAACAAATTAATTAAACTGAATCAATTGATTTTATTCTTGCCTTTTTCTCTAGCCCATTCTCCATGTCATCGTTCATTCTCGCCATATCGCAATGCTATATGGGGATGTCTCTTGGTGCCATTCAACCAATATAATTTTCCATTAAATCGCTCGAGTGTGGGGTCTCTGGCCATTTCTTCTCTAACACACAACACAATTGGCTCGGTCTTTTTTGTGTGTGCCATACACTTTTCGATTTGTGGTCTCCTTTTTGCCTCACAGTGTCTCACACTGTGTGTAACTTATTTTACTCAACACTTTTTATCGTCATTATTAACGCGAGAGCAATTAGGTTCCATTCTGTTCAATTGAATTGAAATTTATTATTATTGTCGCATGGTTTCTGTTTGCCTCTTCTCTCTCTCTCTTCCTTTCTCACTCTGCCATTTTCCCTCACCACCCAGGCGAGTCAGTGAAATTTTCCGAAACTGGCGTTGCTTGACTTTTCTCTCCATTGCCCTTTTTTTCCTTCGTCCCTCTGCATTACGAGCGCGCAATTGTTGAGTAAAGAAAACAGAGAGGAAAATTTACAATAATGGTTTAGAGATTACAATTTTCGTACCGCGCGTGGAAAATTCTATATCGCAACACAACACCAGTGAGCAAATTTGTATTTGAAAGCCAGTAAAAGAAATTTTTGGAAATAAAGTCAGCAAATAATGTGGAGCCTTAGCTCAAAAATTAATTGCTCACTCTGTGTCGCTCTTCTGGCGGTGTTTTGGCATTTGAGAAAATATCCTTCCAATCGCCAAACTTTCTCTCATGTAGATTTTAATGACTCTGAAATTTTAATTGTCAGCCAGTGAATTTCTTCTGGGCGGTTTATTTCAACTCATTTCCATCTGCTGTGCGGAGGGAAATTTAATGCGCGTACATGCTTAGTTGTGATTCCAATTCTCTTCACTACGCAATCATCTCAGTATTTCGTCAAATGCTTTCGGAGGCTCAAAGTATTAAATGTCGTGTGCGTGTTGGAATTTTGCTCCACAAGGTGGAAACGCGCTTTTCTTTATATTTATAATGAATGACTACTATTTACAAGAGATATTTTTAAAAATATAAATATATGTGTTTGTGTGTCTAACAGAGTGAGAGGAAATACAGGGAAAAAAAACAGAAAAGCCCAAAGAAAAAAGACAAGAAATGAATGAAACAAATGAATATTGGCAACAGGAGAAATGAAAAACATCGGCTTTTTTCACAAGCTCCCTCATCAACTCGCGTGTTTAGTGAAAAATGTTGATAGATTTGACGTGAAAATTTCCCCTCATGATGACTTTTCTGTACAAATCAAGATGCTCGAGTGGCGGGCGGGCGCAAGAGAGTTGTAGTGGGAGGTGGAAAAAAAGGCACAAGAGGTGGATATGTTGAGGTGGAAAATGTGGGAAAAAAGTGTGAAAATCTTTATTTATATACAAACACATTATCTCCTTCTGTTTTTATGTGTGAACCGCGTCTTTCCCCCGTGCTGCCGCCCGAGCAGATCTCTTAACTTTTACGCCCATCATTGAGATTTTTCCGGGGAGAAAAAGTGTCTCAGCATTTCTCAACTGCCTTCTGAAATATCACGTCGTGAATGTATAGTTAAATGATTTTGTATGAAGTGATGTGACAACAAATTAATTTTTTCTTTGATGTTTAGCGTTTTTTTCCGCCTCTTTTGCCACCACCACAGCCATTGACTGCGGGGACCGTGAAAATTTCAATCTCCACTCATTTTAGAAAATTGGAAATGTAATTAATTGGCTCACAGATGGGCGAAAGAATGAAAATACCGTAAGGTTTTCCTTCCCCGCGCCGTGAGATCAACTTGAAAGTTCATCTCAACAAATTTGATTCCACATATCAACGGGCGCGAGTGAAATATGCTTCTACACTCTATGCTCGGTCACCCCAGTGTGTGGTTGAAATTAAAGTTTTCCCGTGAGGTGTGGTGGGAAAAAGTTGTGCGAGTTTATAAATTTATGAGTTATTGCTTCATATACATGTCGAATTTAATAAGATGATATAGATGGATGGGTGAGAATGTGAGGTTTCGCGCTCGGAGGAGCGCAGATGAAAAAAAACGCGGTAGAATTATTAGCGGAAATGATGAATAGCCTTCCCACATTGAATAAAGTTTCAACACTTGTCCTGCACACACTGTGTGTCACTTAAATTTACGTAACTCTGGATTAACCTATTTCATTAGGATCGAATAAAAATTAGCGTAATCTTTCGTCATTTTTTGTCTCACTTAGCAGACTGATATCAACAATCTTGACTGGGCTTTATAGTGCCATGAGGTCGGAACAGTTGCGTATGATTTTCTGATTATTTCTCACATACATATGTATGTATGAATTATGTTATGGTGGGTTCACAATCTGCACCGTAGATTTCTCGAGACGTTTCTCAATTAGAGACTTTGTGATCTTTACCTCCAAAGCCCATCATGGATTTCAACAGAAAAACATCCCGTCTCAATTAACCTGAATTAATATCAACCAGATGCGAGCGTAGCTCAACAGACATGAAGTCTTGTGAGTCTTACATTTAATTCATGGGAGAAACTTGAGACAATTCAAATGTGTATTTATATTTTTCGCCATTTTTCGTTATATTTATTTGTTCTGCTTTTGATTTTCGATGCGAAAGCGCGGAGTGAAATCGTCTTAGAGCATAAGAAAACCACCGAAAGAACTGCGGTTTTGCTTCTCTCGCTGTATTTCTGCGAATCCAGCCAATTAGAGGGGAATGAATTATTACCTCCGTGGTGGTATTTTTCGAAAATTCCTCCTTTTTGCAAATGGTTCGCCTGTGTTATGGAAGAGGTGCCTATGAAATTTTGGGCGGACTTGAAAAGAGTTGTCATTCTGTCTGTTGTCTCTCTCGCTTTCCCTCGAAGCGCTTCGTATGGCGAAGAATTCGGCATTCCTGTACCAAAAAGTCATTTGTTGCAATCTATCTCCACCATATTTCACATTATTTTTTTCTCCTCTCAGCCTCAAAGTTTCTGTGTTAACCATCTTTTTTTTGGGTGGTTTCTATTGGAAATTGTTGGAGGCTGTATGCAGTGTGTTGAGATACGAACGTGGTCTATTTTGCCATGTGTGTTGGGATTTTTTCTCTCTCTCGTCCTTTTGAGAAAGGGATGATGGAGGAAACTTCTTGACGAAGGGGTTTTTTTCGTTTGGGTCTCTGCCGAAACAAAAGTTTAACTCTCTGCTTGCCTGGAGATTCCGGAGGTACAGCCATCGGTGTTTGGTGGTAAAAGATGGTGGATGAGAGAGAATGGCTTTTTTGTCTCCTCACTCTATTTTCGTCCACATTTCTCTTGATCAATATGGTTGCAAGGTGACGGTGAGGGCCAGGGTGTCTTTTTTGTGCACTGCCGAAGAAGCCCTCGATGCCTTTACCTAAGCAATTGATATTTCAAATTTGTAACTCGAGGAGCGCGTGTATCTGTTAGGGGTGTCGGAAAACCGCACAGGCATTGGGAGTGGAGGAGGAGGAGAAGGAGGAGGCGGGATGTGAAGAGGGCAGAGGAGTGGAAGATATACAAGAAATAAATTTCCAATCACTCACAATATAATCGACGATGATTGAGTGAATTAACTTCAATGATTCCTTTGCATAATAACAAACTGTGAAAATTTTTATTTACTCAATCTCTCGGCTCCTTTCTCCTCCGCCACACCATTCTACATCTTTCAACATTGGTGTTTTATTTAAATTTCCATTATTTCCTCCATGCCAGTCGCTTTCCCCAGTCCATGTCGTGTTGCTGCCAGTGCGGCAAAATATTGGATGTGTGTTTATTTGAGGCACACACAATGAAGGAGGCCTCTTGATGGAGAAGACCCCTATGTGGTTTAATTGATATAAATTAAGGTATATCTTTCTGCTGAATCTGTCGTTGTGCGCACTGGAGGAGAATTAACTGTCTCAGTGGCGACGATCTCAGATGCTGCACTGATGATGATGGCATATCCAAATGTTACACACTTTACTGACTTTTTCCTCATCTCCCATCCCGCCAATCCACATATTCCTCCGCTGGACTCTTTTTTGCCTGGCCTGGTGTTCTGCTGAAGTAAAAACTTTTGGACTGTTGGATGTGAGTCTGCGATGAGATCATCTCCTATTTTTCACTTTACGCGGAATCCTAATACATCAGTTTGTCTGTACTGAGAAAAAGAAGCTTCACTTCTTGGATATCAATTCGAATTCAGTTTTTTCGTTTTATCAAGAGCTTCGAAAACGCTTTCAGTTTGTTAGATATTTTAGAAATCTACCTTTGGTGTAATTTTTCATAAAGAAAATGATCATAGCATTTTGTAAATACGATGATAATGAAATTTTCAGCACATTTCAAACTTAGATTTCACTAGACTTATATTGCAAAATTCAAGTATTTCCCTAGTTTATGATTTAGTTTACAGTGTGAACAGCACAATTGTCTGAATAAGGCCAGAAATCTACAGAAACAATACTATCAAAACTATTTTCTAATCACACAAGAGCCTCGAAAGCTTGTTCTGACAATCTTACATCGCAGAATTAGTTTTTTCACTGTTTTCCTGAAACTCTAAACCTCTGTAGTTCCAAGTATTCTTCACCCATATTGCTCCACATCGTCCAAGTGGCTGTCTTTTAATTTAAAATTCAGTCCAATGTGTGGGGGTTTCTTCTACTCCTTTGCGTGTTTCTCAATTTAGAGTGTGATCTCTTGTTGGCGCTGCGAGGGGCCGGAGAGGGCGAATTCTTAATGTTTCGGAAAGAGGCAAGAAGAATGAGAAAAAATTGATAATAAACTCGCATGCGTGGCCTGTTTTTATTACTTGTGATTGACTCTCTCACTCCGCGAACCTCTTGTCCTCGCCAGCAGCACACCATCCGACACTCCAGCCGTAGTTCTTTGGGCATATTTTGATGTTTATAGAATCACACATGAGACATTTTCTCCACTTGTACACAACAGAGAGCAATGAGATGGGCTGTGAGATCACCCGACATGTCTCAACATTGGGGGGACTCCAGAGGAGAAATTAAATAATTTATTAGTTTATACACACATTAATGTAAAATGATGTGTTACAATTAAGCATCGCAGGCTTTTTGTCATCTGATAGCGCGCCTCTGGCTTGGGGTGTTATTTATAAGAGGCGTCTGTACGCGGATAAGCTAACAAGTTGTTCAGAATTTATGTAAATTTTTTCCCCCCGCCAATGGTGGGACGCCTTTTGGCAAATGCCAGTGACTGTGATCAATTGATTTCTTATTCGGACGCCTCTCGTCTGTTCGCAGATCCATCGCTGGCATCGGGACTACACAAGGACAATGACGCAGCATCTGCCACGCACACGGAGTACTCCATCAACTGCCCGCAGTGCCACGTAGGGCTGCCTGGCTTCCAGGCGTGGAAGGAGCATCTGGAGTATGCCCATCCGATGGGCGAGAAGTCATCCCACGACGTCGGCTCGCCCAACCACCAGCAGGCCAACGGGCACCAGCAGTCTGTGACACCTTCGCCACCTCTGGCCCTGGCCACTTCCTCCGCGACGGTGAGCGGCTCGATGCTGCAGAAGACGCCACTCCTGACGTCATCTGCGTCACCGTCGTCAGCGTCCATTTCAGCGAAGAGTGAAGAAGGTGGTGGGCGTTCAACAAGTCCCAGTTCCTCACTCGATGGGCCCCACGCATGCGTCCAGTGCTCCGCCTCGTTTCAGAGTCGTGATTTGCTCGAAAAACATGAATTGCTCCACTCACCGAATGGAACTGTGGTATGTTTTCTCTCTTCTTCATCTCTCCCGTGTGCTCTTTTTTTGCCTTTCCTCCTCGTGAGCTCTTTTTTTTTCTTCATCATCATCATCACCATCATCGTCCTGGTGTAGTCTCTTCTTTCCCAACCGTTGCCTTATGTAACAATGCCCAGACTTTTCTCTCTGCCACTCAATCTAGCGGCAGAGAGAGAGAGAGTGGGTGGGAAAATTGGACATCTTAAGGAGACGGTCGCTCTTTAATATCTCACATGAAGTAGTTCTTTTTGTCTCTGCTTCTTGACCATTGTCCTGTTGAGTATTGACACCTTTTCTTATGTAGGCCAGAGACATGTCATCGCCCAGCAACATGCTCATCTCCTCACCCAAAGAGACGCTTCTTTTTTACTCTCTCGAAACTATCGCTGCGCGTGAAGTGAATTGAATTGCACACCTAAAATTGGATGTGATCTTGTGTTCCAGTTCGTAATCAATTTACACTTGATTTTCTGGACATTTTCGGTGCAAATTTATTGAAAGAAAAACTACTGAGAAAGCAGATGTTTGTGAAATACGTTAAATTTTCACAGACAATCGCTTGTTGTCTTGAGCGATATGATTTAAAGAAATTCAATAATTGCACTTAAAATCTTGTTCAAAGCAAAATCTCTTTTAAAATAGCAAATAATAATCTACAATCTTCTACCTTTTTCCTATTGAAAATAGCACAAAAGCAGTTCTTATCGATCTTCTGTCTGTTGTTCGAACAGCATTACTTCTGTGTGATATTCCTTCAACAGTAATTGACTTGTGATTTTTATTGACAAAATCATGTCACATTGAGCGTTAGAGGAAACCGTGAGTGCCAAAGTGCAAAATTCTGAGCGATACAATCAATTTGATCTGGTCAATTTGTATGTCATGTGAGATACTGTGAAAATTCTAATGGAGTCACATCGAATATCTGTGTCTTGATCTGTCTATAAGTGTGAATTGTGTGTTGGGAAAACAATATCTCTCAATGATGAGGATGAGGCGCAGTAAGGGAGATCGAGTGTGAGTGTGTTTTGGAATAAATGAGGACAAGGGAATTTTAATGTTCCAATTTGAGAGAGCTCAAGTATGACTGATAAATTTGCGTTTCTTTTTGCCCTCGCATTTTCATAGGCAACATAGGCGCGGCATTTTTGCAGTGTGAGAGGATTTCCCAGCATAGGAAAAAATTCACAAGATGTGAAAAATATTTGGTTGAACTTCAATTCGTGTGTTTCATCTTTTGCGCTGAATTTTTGAGCGCTGCCTTGCGACAGGGAAAAACCACACAATTGGGCATCACATGGGCGCGTGTGTGTTTAATGTGATTCAATATACGGAGTCGCCGTTTTCCTCCACCCATGCCCACTGAAATGGGAAGTGTGTGCTGATAGAGAAAACCAATTCTTATCACGGTGCTGTTATCACGGACGAAATGTGTATGGCGCAGCTCGAATACACAGGCTTCCAATATATACGCCTACTTTCTGCACTTTAGTGGTAACTGAAAAATACATTATAAATCACTCCCGAGTCATACTTGTTATCGTGAAGGCTGATTACAAGTTCACAGGAAAAGAGAATTTCTCATCTTTAGTTTCTCTCTCATGTGAGACTCTTCCTGTGCGTCTCAATCTAACAATAAATGCGTGATTTACTTCAATATTTCGACTCTTGGGACTCTGTTTTTTTGCCCCTCACCGAAAAATATTGTAATTCTCTCTGCACTTTAACCATGTTTGACTTGTTTTTGGTGCCTCTTATGTGACCACGCAAGAGTTGCGACAAAAAATGTCCCGACATGTGGATTAGGAATGAAACTACAACGCCTTTTTTGTGGCAGCGATCGAGAGTCTGTGTGCTCAATTTAGATGGAGATAGACTGTGAGAATGGTACAAAGGATTGAAAGTGTTTTCATATTCGACCTTAATTTGAAATCACACTCGTGATAACCTTTTGGGATCTTTCGTGTCATTTACCACTCACATTACAAAACGATAAAATTTTAATTATTCCATAGACACTCAACCGTTGTGTGTGCAATTAGATTTCACAGGGGATTTAATTAAGACTTGAATCTCTCTCTCGCAAGACACTCAGGACGCGTTATTATTTATTAAGACTTGCTCTGAAAATATAAATTCCCCATTGACGTATGTTTTTCATGCCATTTCGACAAAACATTTGAAATTGTATGATGAAATTTATTATATACAGGAGGAGTATATTTTTCAACTCCCCAGTTCACTCTTTCACCCTGGCTTTCGCAATCTCTCTCTCTGTCCTTCTTCTCTTTTTTGCGTGTCTGCCCGTGTCAATATGGAATTTTATTTGAGGTCAGATACCTTTACACCGCGCGCTCTTGACGAATGATCAGCGCGGGGAATAAAGGAAAATTAATGGTGAAGTTTTCTTAATCAAGAATGTCTCCATCAGACACAAGGTTATCATGTGACGAGGGGGAACTGTATGACTTTTGCCTCACTCAAAGACCACACGTTATGTTTTTTTCCACTCTTACTTTGTCGCCAGGGTTGAAGTCTTATTTCGGCAGGAATTTCACAAAATTTGATAGAGCGTGTTTGTGTGGCGCTGTATTACATCATTTCTTGCTCTTTTGCCTAATTGAGAGACTGAATAAATGAGGGAGTGCGATAAAAATAGCAAGTATTTCCGTACAATATTCCCACTTGTGTGGCACTTTGTTTGCCTATCTGGGCTATGCATACTTACTTTCCTGGGTATTATATGGACAGACTAACGAGATGGAATTTCACATCAATTAATTACAACACTCCGAAAGTTTGCTCTATCGTCAATTCTAAAACAATGAATTCTTTATTAATATCCCCCAACGCCATGCCTCGCGTCTCTCCACCCGCGGCCACACTCATGATTGCATTTTTATTGGAACAACCGCAATTCGCTGGCTGAAGGATCGCCGCAAATGTGATGAAGGAAGAGGCATTTGTGTGCGCGATCGTCTGCAGGGAGAATTTGTTGATGGCTGAAATGGTCTTGTATTTCACTCGATGAGGCAGTAAAAATTAAAAGTCATTAGCAACGTGCATCTCACACAAATTAAATGAAGCGGCATTGTTAATTAATCTATATATGCATATATTAGGCGAGGAGGAGGGCGCGAGTGTGCTCGATAGATGCTGTATTGCCCATGTAGCGTGGCCACAATATCAGTGTTGTTTGGCGATCACAAGGGGCAACAAATGAAAGGAGCAAAAAGCGGATTGAACGATGGAAAGCATGAGAGTGAGAGTGAAGAAAGGAAATAACAGTGAAACAAAGTGGAGGTCGATGAACTAAATTTTTCTCACAAATTAACAATTTATTCCGTTTCCACCATACTTTCTTGTCTCCACCCACTGTCGCCATATACATTCATTGTATGGCGTTGAGTGTCAATAAAAAATGTTCATTAAAATTGGAGATTACACCCCAGCCAGGACATTGTTATGGGTGAAAGACGATGTATTTATTGTGCGGCTTCCCGTCGCTGATCCACCTCCTTTTCCACTTTGCTCTCTCTCGCTGTGCCTCCTTTCGGCTTCGGTGGAATTCGAGAATGTCGGAGGAATTTTTGAGAAATAAATATTTTTTCCTCTAATCTCCACCCCAAGCCAAAATTGCTGTAGAGAAGAAAATTAACTTGCTCTATCTGAGATTTATGTACATTTCTTATTTATCACTTCTTTCTTACAACATCTTGTATGTTGTAAATTTAAACTCTTTGTCTTTTCTGTATCAGAGGGGAATTTCTTTCTCATCTAATTGAAACCTTACCTTTGAGCCCACATTTGGCGTTACATTGCAAGAGTCGGATGATTGAGAAGTATTTCTCGAATCATTCTATGAGAAACATATTGTTTTCCTGAGTAAAATCTTGTAAATTAGCGCTAAAACGTAATCAGAAACACATTTTTTTAAAGGAAGTTCAGGTTCATCCAAGGCGTTTCAAGAAGTGGTTTTAGAGGAAAAAAATTTAACATTAAGGTTAAGATTTCTTCTACTGTTTCTCTTGTAAAATTACTCTATTCCAAGTCACTTTTAACCGCACCTGTTTGGCTGGTTCTTGACTTTTTTAGGGTCTTCGTGCGAAGCAATCTCTGTGAAAAGAAGGGTGGTTCTTGTTGAGTGTTTTTCTCATCTCTGTTTGGCGTGATTTTTCTCTTGGAGAAAATGTAATTCATTTTCATAGTTTTATCTTGTGTTTTATGTTCATTTTGATGAGCCTCGTGCCTTGAATGTCGCAGTTCTTGTCCATGCGCATGGAACATGAAGAGATCCCCATCACAGTGTTGAGTTTGATGAGACAAAAGGTGGATTTTTAATAACGTCTCTGAGTGTGTCCCTGTGGCTATTTATAGGAGAAGAGCGATGGTGAATGTTGATGATGAAGGATGCTCGTGAGTGTGGAAGCGAGTGACAAGTTAGGCACTCGCTGGTTAGGTGAAATAATTCACAAAAGGCAGGAGAGAGAAGTTAACACAGTAGATTGAATTTTCTACAAGATTTCCCCCGAGGATCTTTTCATTCTTTTTGCCCTGCCACACCACGCTTCACCTTCTCTTCGTGTGATTATTTTCTATAAATATCCCTCCGATTTCCAATTGTGTGCTCTCCAATGGTGTTTAAGAAGTGAGAGCATGGGCAAAAAGAGGAGGCAAAGATGGGTGCAAGTCAGCAAAGGCAACATTGTCGAATGCTGGAAATAGCAACAATTAGCAGTAATTTCAAAATTGCCGCAAAGTTTTCTCTTAGGCGCAAAATAGGCTCTCCCCAATACAATTTCTTCTTCTTTGTGACTCTCTTTGCAGAGCTGCAAGACATGCCACAAAGTCTTTGCCAATGTGTACAGACTTCAGCGTCACATGATAAGTCACGATGAGTCAGCCCTCCTGAGGAAATTCAAGTGCACCGACTGCGACAAGGCGTTCAAATTCAAGCATCACCTCAAGGAGCACGTGAGAATTCATTCCGGCGAGAAGCCCTTCGGATGCAACAACTGCGGCAAGCGATTCTCCCACTCGGGCTCCTACTCCAGCCACATGACGTCCAAGAAGTGCATCAGCATGGGTCTGAAGCTGGGCCAGGGCCTGCCGGGGGCGCGCTCGGGACGCAACAGTGACAAGAGCTCTGGTCTCCTGGCGGCCGCCCAGAAGCGCGCGCAGTTGTTCCACCAGCCGCTGGGCGTCAATCTGGCCGGAGGCCTTCACAACAACAACAACTCCACCAGCTCCAATCACAATGCCTTCCTGCCCATTTTGCCCAAGTACAGCAACAACTACGATGCCATGAACGTCGCGATCTTCGCCTCCTTCCAGAATCCCTTCTACTCCATGGCGGCGCTGGATCCGCGCAACGCCGCCGCCTTCAATCCCTACAGTCTGCAGCGACTGCTGGAGCTCACGGCGGCCGGGAGTCAGCATCAGACCTCCATGGAGGCCCTCCTCAAGGCGTCGGCCAGCCAGAGGTCGAGCGACACCAAAACACCTAGTCTACATTCCGATCCCGAGGACATGATCGAGGAGGTGACCGAGGACAATGCCGATGACGGTCCGAAGCTCGTGATGGACATTGATGAGAAGGGCAGCGACAAGTGTGCGGACAAAGAGAGTCCATCAGAGCACAATGGCATTGCGGGAACGTACAATTCCCTTCTGGAATCGGTGAATGCCTCAGTGACTCAACATCTGCTGAAGGCGAACATGTGCAAGATGGAGACACCGCCGCCATCTGAACAGGATGCCCAGTCGCCAGCGAATGGGTTTCCCGAGATGTCTGCTGGCGAGGAGCGTCAGAATTTGCAGTGTCAGCACTGCGATAAGATGTTTAATCATCGCACAGAGTTGGCTCAACACGAGAAAGTCCTCTGTGGCTCACTCATGTTCCGAAAACATGAGAGCCTCGCTGCTCAGGTGGCTGAGACGATGGCGTTGAACAGCTATCTGGCCGCAGCAGCGTCTGGCAGTGAGGATGACGCCGAGGAACGGGATGCCAAGGCTACATCCGAGGGGGAGCGCAAGGTGAGAGTGCGCACAGCGATCTCGGAGGAGCAGCAGGCAGTTCTGAAGGAGCACTATGCAGTCAATCCACGTCCCAGTCGCGAAGAATTTCGCTCCATTGCATCTCGTCTCATGCTGGATGCTCGTGTGGTGCAGGTGTGGTTCCAGAACAATCGCTCGCGTGAGAGGAAGCTGAACAACATTGGCATGATGAAGCAGCCATTCACACCGATCACACGAGCAGGATCGCCACCGATATTCAATGCCAGTGGCTCTATTGACTGGGATCAACCTCTTGATTTGTCCCTGAAGAAGGACTCACGGGATTCTCAGGTACTTTATTGAAGGCTCCTAATTTCATTTGTAATATATTCGCATTATGTGTTTGTTGTATGTCTCTTCCAGTCCAATGACACTGCGACCCCATCCAACTCTCCCAGATACGGAACTGCGCCTCTGCAATCGACCGCCGGTGGCCAGGAAGAGGTGATGAATCTCAGTCACAAATCATCGCGCAGTCCAACGCCGTACCGGCCGCTGCATTTGTACGGAGCGACGCTGAGCAACAGGATAGACGCTCTGGTGCGCCAGACTCCGTCGCCGAACGAGGCCGTGCCTCGACACACGCCCTATGTGCTGCCCAGCGCTGCTCTGGGTCTCGTGCCAATGGAGCGTCTGCTGCAGATGACGCCGGAGATGGCGAGGAATCCGCTGCTGGGGCTGAAAGGCGAGCGCTGCAACAGCCTGAGTCCGGGCAGCGAGCGGCGATCGTGGAAGGATGAGGAGTCTCGGGTGTCCCTGGACGGGATGATTGACGTGACCAATGGTCCCATGAATGTGGGTCATGCCAGCAAAAGGGTGAAGATGGAACCAGAGCAGGAGGGGCAGTTTGTGTGTGACCAGTGCGACAAGGCCTTTAGCAAGCAAAGCTCCCTGGCCCGTCACAAGTACGAGCATTCAGGTGAGTTTCCAGCCATGAAGGCTAAGTAACTCACGATGCTAATATAGATTCTTCTACCCAATTTCAGGTCAGAGACCTTACAAGTGTGCCGAATGCCCGAAAGCCTTCAAGCACAAGCACCACTTGACGGAGCACAAGAGACTCCACAGTGGCGAGAAGCCGTTCCAGTGCTCCAAGTGTCTGAAGCGATTCTCCCACTCGGGCTCGTACAGTCAGCACATGAACCATCGCTACTCCTACTGCAAGCCGTACCGAGAGTAGGACAGCCAGGATTGTGCACCGGAAGCTCGACAGAGGCCACGTTGTCCCACTTCTGCGTGTAAGTTGAACATTTCCACGAATCCCTTCTTCTGGACACGAGCAAATCCCCCTGAAGGACATGTTCAGGCCAATTAAAGACGTTTCCCATGTGATGCTTTTAAGAAAATCGAATACAACTCCTTTCTTACTACTTTTTATTTTGTAACACGATGGCAAGTACATAAGCGAGAGATATGATTGTGAAAATCATACCACAATGTACTTAATAGTGAGAAGAAATAAAAGAGAGAAGTAAATAACCAGAAATTTGTCGAAACAACGAACACGTCATTCCTTTTGAAAGAGAAAAAAAATTGTATTTCTAAGTTTTTTTTTATTCGCTATTGAAAGCAGTGTAATTTTTTAGGATAACGCATGAATTCTAATATTTGATAAGTGAAAATATATCGATTTGCCCTGCAGGGTTCATTTTAAGCAAAAGTCTATCCTTTTGTTCAGTAATTCCACTTTAACTGTATATAAATTCGCGATATGATTAAGGGATGTTTATTTAAGAAGGCTATTTTAAGTGTAAATTTCTTTGAAATACCTTAAGAAAAAAAGGATGAGTTGATCTATTCTTTACTTGAATTTAATTAATGTGAAATGTATTAGGATTTTCTTGATGCCAACAGCAAAAAAATACTGTTTTTTTCTTATGGTTGCCATTAAAATTTGGTACCTGCAGCAATACTCAATTGTCTATACTTCAGACTCTCCTCTTTTCGCCTAGAGATTTATTATGTTTATAGTATCTCTTGTAGTGTATAATTTTTGATTTGCCGAAATTCTTCGAGCTTGTGCTGCTTCTGTGTTTATTCTTTTCCAATCTGCGGGCTGGGTGAGAGCAATTCTTTTTGTCGTTCTATTACTTAACGATTTTATTTATGATTTAATTTGTGGGGAAATTGAGAGGAATTTGAAGATGGACTCGAATAGGGGCAATTGAGGTGGAAGTAGACTCTTGGAAACAAACATACGGCATAGTGTATGTGAGAAAATACGCATTTTGGACCACACGGTGTTAACATGACAATACAATGTAATATTTTACTCCTTAATGAATAAACTAATTGAATATATACGATTTAGCGAAAGGACGAAGATGGAGTTTAAGGAAAAAGAAGAAAATACTCAAAATATCTGTAATAAGTGAGAAATCAAATAATTTCACCTTCAAATCTGTTTCACTCCTTCGCTCAAGTGTTTGTGTGAGCAAAAATGCACCAAAGGAAAAGCCATAAAATTTCCCTTCTTTTTCTTTCTCTTCTCATCAAGCCAAAGACAAAAGAAAACAGTCACGAAATAGCGTGAAGATGTATGAAAAGAAAAAAAAATTTGATAATACTGTAAGGAATTCTAAATAAAGGCTCTTTGTAAATAGCGTAATAATAGAGAGATATTTCTAAATTTTAGTAGTTTCTCAAGTAGATGAAATTGCTCAAAGGCAGTAAAAAAAAAGTTAAATATTTCCTCCTTATCAGCTCACTTTAATTCCTAAACCCCACGAAAGAGAGTATCTTTTGCACTTTTGCTTCCTCCATTAATTGCCGAAACAATTTTAGAGGAAGAGTAATGAATTCTTTTATTTCTTTCTCTCTCTTAAACGTATGTAGATGCAAAAAAAATGTTGAAGACAGCAGTTCCCCTTAAAAAAAAATACTAGACTATGCAAGGAGTTCTAGAAATCTAGTAGAAAGAATTACATGAAACAAATTGGATTATGACAACGATCTCTGTTGGCACTACTTTTAGAGATGGAGAAACAGAGAAGGAAAAACCACCATTGATAGCTAACGAATAAAATTAGAGATGAGATTGAAGAGCGAGGGATGGGAAGAACCCTAAGAAATTATTGCAAATTCATTGAAACTATACTGTACTAGTAAGAGAATGTAATTTAAAGCAGAAAGTGAATTCGCAGGAGAATTAGGATTAAGTAATTAATAACAATGTGTCTTTTTAATTATTAAATTTGCTAAAAATTAATGTAAATGAGAAGAAAAAAAAGATGAGCGGAAACACAAAGGAAGCCGTGAGATGAGCAAAGTTTACCCAGTTTAAAGAGAAATATTGGAACAACTATGGAAAAGTCCTTTTTATTGATATTATATGAAAAGTATGGAAGAAAAAGAGGAGAGAACTTTTATTCAATAAGATTCGTATTATATTGATTATAATGAAATATAAAATAATGCCACAGATATATTTACAGTTATTGTTACAATTTTATTTAAACGTATGAAGAAGAATATTAAATTTAATGAAATTAAGCAAATTTAAAAGTAACCTATAATGTACTAATCATTCCATAACGTGGAGAGAGTGAAAGTGAGGAAAAAAAAATCTCATGAGAAGTAGTGGACAAGTGAGTGAGAATGAGAGGAAACAGTGGAGATATACTCGATAGGAACAAAAATAAATTTAAATGTTGATGCCAAAAAAAAGAGTTGCCAAAAAGAAATTTTAAAAATTCTAGAAATAGGAAAAAAAATCTAAATAGGAAGATCCAAAGCCTACAGAGAAAAAAAAGTGAAGAATTGAGTGAAAAGCCGTAGGAAAAGAAAACATCGAAAAGGGTAAAAAAATCAATTTTATTATTTGAATAAAAATGAAAAAAGGAAACTGTAAAATACATTTAGAGAAAAAAGAGAAAAAAACAGAAGAAGCATAAATATTGAAAAGTAAAAATAACCTTATATAGATGAAATACACAAAGAATAAGAAATACAAATTCGTATTTGAGCAGACAATAAAATTTTAATTAAACAAAAATTGTATCTTATTATAAAGAATAATGAAAAAAAAATAAGTGAAGGAGAAATAGTTAAATTTCAACATGTAAACTACAGTTTTAGCGAAAGTCAAGTGAGATGAACAACCTATAAACTTAATCCGGTTTTAGTCCAATTTCTCACACTTCTTCATTTTCTTTCTTTCTCGGTAATGAAAGTGTTTTATTGATTTTCCCTATAATTTCGCTGATTTTATATATAGATAAATGAAGAGAGAAACAAAGAATTACGAAAGAATTTCTTTTGACAACGAATTGAGCGGCCATGTAAACGAATAAAGGTCACAAATATTTACTGAATGCAAGAAGGACAGAAATCTCATTAGATAATTAAAGGATGGAAGAGAGATATATTAAGGTTTCTAAAACAACGATTGAAATATTCTACGATTAATGATTTTTACTTGTAAAAAGCCTTTTTATAAATAATACATAGCTATTATTTTCCCACAATTTTTTCATTCACAGATTTTACAAAGTCATCTTATCTAAATATAAATATTGTATAAGTTTTCTTTTTTGTGAATTATACTTTTCACATTTTCTTTTTTTTTTAATATTGTGCAAATTTGTTGAACCAATCCGGCATATTTGCCAGAATATGGGGAGAAAGCTAGAAGTCCAAAGAAAATTTTGTAAAGAATTAGACGGAAAAAATGCAATGGAGGATTAATTTTCGCGATTTTTTTCACACTTTGTATTACATATTAAAACTTTTCTTCTTCTTATGGAAAGGCCAAACAACGAAATATTTAGTTTAGACTTTTTCACTCTGTGTAATTCTTTTTGTCATATAATTTGCTGGGGTGACAGACAGAGAAAAAAAATCGTACGTTAAGATATTTTGTTATACATGAGATGGTAGCAATTTTAAGGTAACTTTACGAAGGACAGCCATGAACAATAGTTATTAAACTTATGTTTTTTTTTAATATTTTTTTTAATGATATTATTTTTATACGATCTAGATCTTTTTTTAACGTACTAGTGGACGATGAGGTGAATGATGATATAAATAAATGTATTTTAATCGATATGTCTTAATAAATTTAAAGAAAAATACCGAGCGTTTTCTTTTTATTCAATTCCACTGATAAACACACTTTCCCATTGACTTTCACTGCCTCTCGCCGTTGCTGTTGTACACATTCTTTATCCAGAGCGAGTGCGGAGCCACGGAAGTAAAGACGGACGGCACTCCTGATGCACATCCTGAGTGCCACGAAGCTATTCCCAGCACGACTCCTTGCTGAACGAGAGGCGATCCTGCGTCGCCACTGCAAATGCCGCTGTTCTCAGGAGCAGTGCTGCAAATCTTCGTCTCATCCATCAGTCCCTCAACGCCGTGCTCTTTCAGCAATTGCGCACATGTGAATTGATCTCGCATCGTCACCTGAGCAGCCTGCAGATCTTGGGAGAACATATTCAGCAGAGTTTCCAATAATCCGCCAGATTTTTCTCCCCAACCAGCGACAAAAGCACTTCCGGACAAGGTGAGAACGGGCATTTTGGCAATATTTACAGACTTATCAAGCACTAGAGGCTCTGTCAGCTTTATCTGCAAGAGCAAGAATCGCATTAAGAGGGCTTTTCAGAGGAAATCTTCACTCACCATTGCAATATCATTGCGCTGTCCAGCCTTTCCTGCGAAATCCTTGTGCACTATGAATTTATCCACTTTCCTCCTCTGTCCCTCAGATCCCAGGTTAGTAACTCCGCAGAGAACTTCAAAGTCCCCTAAAGCATTCCCTCCGCATTGACCAGCCGTGACGAGCCACTCGGGATGAAGCACAACAGCACCACATCGATGGGATTTCAGCACGAGAAAACTCGTTTGGAGAGAGCAAACGTAAGGAAACTCTTCTTGCTGGGCGTTTCTTCCTCGAGAAATTGCAGAAACTGCAGAAATCACAGAAATACACGTAAAATAAGATGTAAATCATAAAAAAAAACACTGATGAAACTACCCGAAAGAGCCAAATAAATGAGTAGGAAGATATGGAACTGCATTAGAATCACTCTTCCAAGCTGAATTTTGATGATAAATTTTGAACACTGAACTGATCAGAGAGCAGATCTCGAATAAATTGAGGAAATTTGCCGCGGCACAATCGTTTTTATGTGACATCTTAGAAATTAGACTAGGTTTTGATAAGAGGTCACGCGTGCTGAAAGTGTTTAATCAAGTGAATTGTGAATTTGGAGAGTTCACCTCAATGACTTAACTATTGAATTCTACTAAATTGAGCGTTCAGAACATTAATTTATTAAATATTCGACTTTCTTGTGATGCAATACAGATTTTCCATCCTCTTAGTTGTTGTTGCCAATGCAGGTGAAGGTGTTGTTCGCGTTCGTCTGAATGCGCACGAGTCTGTGGCATCCCGTGGCGTATGACATGATAACATTGGATCCGTGGGACGATGACTCGCCGCTGCTCGCCGAGTGACTCTTCCCGTGCACCTCCCAAATGCGAATCCCACCATTCGACACGGCGGAGGCCAGCTTCCGGCTGTCTGAGCTCCACGTGATGCTCTTCGTCGTGGTGGTGGCGTCACAGCCCGTGGGCAGCTCCATCAGTTGCGCCCCAGCGGCCAGGTCGAATATCCGAATGGAGGGCTCTTCGCCAGCAGCGGCCAAGTACTTCCCGTCGGGGCTGAAGGCGATGCTCAGCAGAGGCAGTTTGCACTCCGTGAACACCCTGAGCAGCTTCCCACTCGTCACGCACCACAGTCGCACGGTGAGATCGGAAGAGCCCGTGGCTAGGTAGTTTCCGTTGGGATGGAAGGCGATCACGTCCACGTCCTGCGTGTGGCCGGCGTACACTTGCAGCGGATGCTCGCGATCGGTGGCCCAGAGTCGCGCTGTGGTGTCCTTAGAGCCGGTGGCCAAGAGGAGGCCGTTAGAGCTCTCAGAAACACACCAAATGGGGTAGTTGTGGCCTCTGTAGATCCCACCACATGTATAGTCTGTGGCCTTCCACGTTCTCATCGTGCAATCGCGGGAGACACTGAGCACCAGAGGATTCCAGCGCGAGAACACAACATCCGTCACCGCCCTGGTGTGTCCCCTGAGATAGGCAACAGGGGAATTCTGCACTCTATTGATGGGATTCTCCCTCAAGCAACTCAGTCGGCTACTTTCGCATGCGCTCTCCTCATCCTCCTCCACTTCGTCCCCGACATTGGCCAGATTCCAGGGACACTGTCGCTCACAGAACATCCTCCACGGCCGCCTACCACCGAAATTGCTGTTGTGCATCGTCCACAGAGCAATCTCCGAGTCATACGAGCTACTGGCCACATGACATCCGTCCGAATCCAGCGAAGCGCACACCAACGCCCTAGCATTCTCCCGAATCCCAATCACTTTCACCGGCAATTGGTACTTGCTCAGTATCTTTTCGCTGTTCTGAATGTTCTCCAGTCTCGTGTTCAATTCCACAAAGTTCAGCGGAGCCAAGTGAGGCTGCTGAACACTTTCACAGCCATTCACACTTCCCCTGCCACTCGATTCGCCCTCCTCCTCGTCCGTCTCGAACTCCTCGTCCGCGAGAGCATTCAGTGGCAGCTCCTTCCGCACCGTGTCAATCTGGAACCACACCTGAAGCGTCTGCAGGATGAGAACGTGGCCGTACTTCGAGAGGTATCTCTTGAGAGCATACAGAGCCTGAATGGAGAGTGTTATCCTGTACTTTGTGGAGCGGAATCTGGCCACAAGTGGCTCCGTTTGGATGTCATGCTTGCTGGTCACCACTGACAGTGTCTCCACGAGGTTTCTGAACATATTGCGAGTCTTCTGATCGAATCCACTCGTGTCAGAAGTTTCTGTGTCTTTCACAAACACAATCTTGTTCTGGTGATTGTCAGTCAGCTGTGTGAGCAAGCTATCCTCCTGGCCAGCACCACCATTCACTCGACTACTGTCCAGAGAGGGATTCTCGATGGCTCCCAGAATTGTGGCGTTCTTCTTCAGGAAGTCCGTCGCCGGCTTCCAGTCGCGCCCCTTTAGCATCTCTATATAGAGATGACACAGCAGCGGTGGCAGGAGATTCCTCAGCTCATTCTTGATGGTCCCGCTGAGAGATTGGATGAACAGGGAGATGCGAGAGAATTGCTGATCCACTTGCACGGAAGAATTGATGCAGAAGACATTGGAATAGAGAAAAGCATTCCCACGGAAGATCTCCTTTTCCACATTCCCGGTGATTTGGAGTTGATCGGTGCTCTGAGTGAAGCAGCGACTGGATTTGCGGTATCTATCGTCGTACTGCAGAAGAAAACAGGGTGAAAATGGTGATGAAAAATCCACTTTGCCATTCCGTCACTCACCGTGTAGTTTCTCTGCTTCAAATATGTGCCAATTGACGTTCTCACGTTCTCATTCCTCGATCTTCTCGTCTTGTGCACACTCAGCTTCACAGATTCCTCCATTGCTGTGCAAATAGCAGGGATTTTTCACGTTTTCCACTGCAATTTTCCCAATTTTCCTCAAGAGCCCTGCGGTTTGTTTACAAAAAGCACTGAAAGGAGAAAGTGCTAGAATGCTGTCATAAATTCGCCGCACTTCGCCATCACACCCAAAACTTTCTCCCGGACTCATAAAATACTCAGTAGAACTTTCTCCTCAAATTACTATGTGATTTAGCGCTCTGATGTTATCGAATTTTTGGTGATAAGATGTCCAAGACAAGTCCAGCCACTCCTACGGTGAGTTATTCCTCGAGATTTATTTAAAACTCCTAATGTTGCATTTCTCTCGTCAGAAAACGCCCAAAGAGACTAAGGGATCGGTCTCGGCTGTCCCTGGGAGCTCTGGAGGCTCATCAGGCGGCATCTTTGATCTCCACAGTACATTTGGACAAGTGACCTTTATCGCCATCGTGGCAGCAATCGCTGTGCTCATTCAGACACTCCCACGCGACTTTCTAGCTCAGATTGGCCGGAGCGCTTGTCCCAATGCTTGTCCTGAAGATACTCAAAAATCTCTTCAACCGCCAGTAATTATCACACCTCCTCAGCCCTCCTTTGTCATCTACAATCCTCGCAGCCGGCGAGATGATCATCTCTACCACGTGAAAACAGTTCTGAAGCGACTGGGATTCAGTCAAGCTCGGAATGACAGTGAAGATTGGGATCTCATGTGGGCACACGATTATCCCTTCCTCAGACTTCCCTCTCTGCGTGAAATGGAGGATTATCAAGTGGTGAATCACTTCCCGGGATCGGGATTCATCACGAACAAAGTGGATTTGGCTCTCACCGAATCAAAATACATTCCAAAGGCCTTCCGATTGCCTGAAGATGTGGACAAATTCCAGGAGTACGTCAAAGAACATCCCAACAAGGAGTTTGTCCAGAAGCACAACCAACATCGTCACATCTACCTCAAAACAGTGCCTGAGATCAACCTGAGCGACAATGACACATTCATCCAGGAATACATGAGCAATCCTCTGCTCGTGGACGGCAAGAAGTTCGACATCGGCGCTTACACCGTTATCACCTCAATCGATCCCCTCCGGGCGTATGTGTACCACGGAGACTATCTCCTCCGCTTCTGTCCGGTGGAGTATCATCCCTTCAGCAAGGACAACGTGGACAAGTACGTCGTGGGCGACGATTACACGCCCATCTGGGAGATGGAGTCACTCAAGGACTTCCACTTGACGTTCGGATTCGGCATGAAAGACTCCCTAGACGCGCATCTTCGCACCAAGGGCCAGGAGCCGAGAGTGATCTGGGAGCAGATTCACGACTCCATCAGAGAAGTGCTGCTGCGCAAAGAGCACCTCTTAAAGAACTCCTTGCAGCGCTTCAGAACCCGCAGAAACTTCTTTGAATTCATGAGATTCGACTTCATCATAGATGAGAACTTGCGGGTGTTCCTCCTGGAGGCCAACATGAGCCCCAACTTGTCCTCCGCCCACTTCAAGCCCAATCAGCTTCTCTACGAGCAAGTCATCTACAACGTGCTGAAGCTGGTGGGAATCGGATCTGCTCTGCAGAGAGAGTCCCTCGAGACTGGAAGCTCCGACGAGGAAGCCATGCAGTCGTCACTCAAGAACATTGTTGTGAGTGCTAATGAGTGCGCTGGGGAGCTGTGCAGAGCTTCCTGCGACGATTCCAAGTGCAAACTCTGCCGCCAATGCTTGTCTAGAGACGACTTGGCGGTTCTTCACGCTGCCTATCGAGAGCACAGCAATCGAGGAGACATGCTGAGGATCTTCCCAGTGTCTGAACATCCTGACCAAGATGCTCTCAACCCAAGGAATGCCCTCATGAGCCGATGGTTCTCTGAAAAGTGCCAAATTGACTCCACTTTCTGTTAGAACTTCCAGAGTGTGTTCAAATAAACGCGCCATAGCAAACTGCTAGAAAAACAATTGTTTTCCATTCCAGAAAAAAAACTTCATTGTTGTGCTCTGCTGTGCTGCTCTTGAGGGAAAGAATTACAGTTTTTTGGACAAAATGGACAATGAATTCAAACTGGAAGACGTGCAGGATTTGATAAGCGACGCCCAGGCAACTATTCGTTCAGTCAGAACCAGTCTGAGACTGCGTGAACTTTCAATTGAGGAGGCTTCGTCGGAACTTAGCGAAGGTTTGGAGGTTAGAGAGCATCAATCTCAGGTTCCGGATAGAGAAAATCAAAATAATTCAGCCACAACCAGCGCACACACAATGCCAATTGCCGGTAGATATGGATGTGAAGCAATCCTAGGCGTCTCTAACAATCTTTCAGTTTCAGAATCTCAGGAACCCAGCCGGGAGCAACAAAATCCAGAATTGCTAGCAGGACCAGCAGAGCAAACATCAGAAGCCCAAAGCTCAGCTCCAATGGAGAGTGCCGACGACGTTTCTAGTGGAAACATCGACCTGGACAACGCGGATTCACAAGTGGAACTTGTTGATGGAGACGCTGCGAGTGTGAGGCCACAAAGTGAGGATTCACAAGGTATTTCCGTGTCTATGTTATTAAACTATTCTAAAGTCCTTCCAGATGCTTGTAATCTCAATGACACCGATGAAATCATCCTGGTGAGTGAGACCAGAAACCCAAATCCAGTGGTGATTGATTTGTGCACCCCAGAAAGCCCTCGCACTACCCGGCGATCGCCAGTGAGGCGGAAACGGCGGAGTCAATCTGCAGTTGAGGAGAGAGATGATGCATCAACACCCAACAAAACACGGACATCATCTGTCACCGCCAGTGACCTCAGCTGTGTGATATGCATGGAGGACATGCGTCCCCGTCAACCCTTTTCCACCCCGTGTGGCCATGTCTTCTGCAAGAAATGCATCACCACAGCGATCACCACTTCGAAGCGCTGTCCGATCTGCCGAAAGATCATCTCTTTGAAGGCCATCCATCCGCTCTATCTCTTTGCTAAGTGAACTCATCCGCGAAATTGAGAATAACGCTGTGAATTAATAAATTTCCATTTTCTATACCCAAGATTTATCCACAGGACACTAGTTTGTTGAATTGATGGGATCCACAGTGACGGCTGGGAATTTGAATTCCGGGAATTTGGTCATATCCACTCCAGAACCGCCGCCAAACTGCTTAGACACCCTATCCAATTCCGTCTTCAGGTCCCTCTCCACCTCCGGAGTGGCGTCCACCAGTTTTCCGCCACTAAAAACGGAAAAAGCATTGCTAAAATCCGCCCAGAAAAACACTCATCACTCACTCTAACCTCTCCTTGGACTTGTACTCCTGCACCTTCTTCAGGAACAGCTGCTGGATGGGATCGGTGGCCTTCTGGGAAGCTGGAGCACTCACACCGAAGTTCCTCGCCACGAAGGCACCCTTCCGGACGATGCCTGTGAATCCCTTGGTGAGCATCTGTAAGTTATGTAATCACACTCCTTTTTAATGCGATTCTCAGCAAAGAAATCACTCCATCGCCTTCGCACATGAAGGACAACTCACCTTTTGCTGTGCAACGACTGATTTGGGCACCAAAAGTGGATGAAAATCTGCGAAAAACAAATTTTCTGTACTCCGCAAAATCCCAACCTTGTCACAAGTGCGTTGTGAAGTTGAGTGCGTTGGCTCGGCGCACCACTTCCGGCTGTCAAAGGAAAAAGGCGGAATAACCTCACTTTCATCGGGAATTTTTGCTCTGTTGGTGTTTTCCTCTGGAGACGCGAAAATTTCTTTGAAAATAGTGATAACTCAAGAGGATCAGTGCGCAAGGTGTCCCTGAAGGATGAGTGTGAACACGGGGAGAGCGCGAAACAGGAATTTCGAAGGGTAATTGGAGAAAATCAAGTACAATGTTGATATGAGAGTTGTGTGAGAGCGTCAATTTGAATTTTTCCAGGAATTCCGGTTCTGATGTGACTTTCAGGACAATTCAAGAGAACGAGAGGATAGACTTTCGCTATGGCTTCGCTACGCCTAGTGATTCCAAGGAGAGAAACGGTTATCTACTGAATCTTCATTCGGTGAGTGATGCATTTGGCTATTATCCTGTCGTGATTCTAACGAGGATTCTTTGCAGACGGATGTGCTCAATGAGAACCGCCAGTTGGTGTCTGGATTGGATATGTACTTCCTCGAGATGTCAGGAGCACGATTCAAAGCCACATTCGTGTTTCAGCCTTATTTCTTTGTGCTGCCCAAGGCGAGTCACTTCACGGAAGTGCAGAGATTCCTGGACAGGAAGTACGCCGGGCAAATAGTCACATCTGAGGCGGTGGATAAGGAGGATCTTAATCTGGCGAACCATCTCATTGGCATCAAGCAGAACTACATCAAGGTGTCCTTCCAGAACATCAACACGCTGATCAAAGTCAGGCGAGAATTGCTGGCGGCAGTGAGGAAGAATCAGGAGAATGCAAAGAACCACACGGATTACATGCAGCTGCTGGCTGCCAGTATGTCTGGTGAGGCTGGACCATCTCGTGGCAGTGATTTCTTCAACTCTGACCTCATGGAGTTCATTGTGGACATCCGAGAGTACGACATTCCCTATCACGTGCGAGTGTGCATCGATCTGAATGTCTTCTGCGGCAATTGGTACTCAGTGACATGCTTCGGAGGACAAAATCCCATCATAAAGCCCTGCACGGACATCATCGATCGCCCTGAACCGATTGTCCTGGCTTTCGACATTGAAACGACAAAGTTGCCGCTCAAGTTTCCGGACGCCAATACAGATCAGATCATCATGATCTCCTACATGATCGATGGTCAGGGGTATTTGATCACGAATCGAGAGATCATCTCGGCGGACGTGAAGAGCTTTGAGTACACGCCCAAAGCGGAATTTGAGGCGACTTTCACGGTATTCAACGAGCCCAACGAAATGGCCACAATCCAGAAGTTTTTCAGCCACATTCTCGAGGTGAAGCCGCACATCTTCGCCTCCTACAACGGTGACTTCTTCGATTGGCCCTTCATCGAGACGCGCGCAGCCGTGTACGATATCGACATGAAGCAGGAAATTGGGTTCAGCAAGAATCGCGAGGGTCACTTTCTCTCTCGACCAGCTTCGCACTTGGACTGTCTCAACTGGGTGAAGAGAGACTCCTATTTGCCGGTGGGATCGCAAGGATTAAAGGCTGTGGCGAAGGCGAAGCTGCGTTATGATCCTGTGGAGTTGGATCCCGAGGAGATTTGCTCTCTGGCCGTGAAGAGGCCTCAAGTGCTCTCCAATTACTCCGTTTCGGATGCTGTGGCAACTTACTATCTCTACATGAAGTACGTGCATCCCTTCATCTTTGCCCTGGCCACAATTATCCCCCTGGATCCGGATGAGGTGCTGAGGAAGGGCTCTGGAACTTTGTGTGAGAACTTGCTGATGGTGCAGGGCTTCAGGGCGAATGTGATCTTCCCCAATAAGCAAGTGGAGGAGGTGAATAAGATCACGGACGGTTACGTTCTGGACACTGAAACATACGTTGGCGGTCATGTGGAGGCGCTTGAATCGGGTGTCTTCCGTGCTGATATCCCGTATCGCTTCCGCATCGACACGGACATGGTGACGAGCCTCCAGGAGGATGTGGACAAGGTGCTCTATCATGCTATTGCCGTGGAAAAAGGAGTGTCGATGGAGAGTGTGAAGAATCTGGCCGAGGTGACGGCAGAGATCAGAGCGGCCCTCGAGGCACTTCGCAACATACCCAATAGGATTGAGCAGCCTGTCATCTACCACTTGGACGTGGGCGCCATGTATCCGAACATCATCCTCACGAATCGCCTCCAACCGTACGCGATGGTGAATGAGACGAATTGCGCCGTGTGTGACTTCAATGAGCCCACGGCGCAGTGCAAGCGTGACATGACGTGGTCGTGGCGCGGAGAGATGCTGCCGGCCACGAAGAGTGAGCTGCAGAGAATCCAGCAGCAGCTGGAGACGGAGACTTTCCCACCGGTGTTTCCCAATGGGCCGCCGAGGGCCTTCAATCAACTGTCGCGAGAGGATCAGCGGGCGTACGAGAAGAAGAGACTGATAGACTACTGTAAGATGGCGTACAAGAAGAGGAAGATCACACGCCTGGAGACGAAGACAAGCACGGTGTGTCAGAAGGAGAACAGCTTCTACGTGGACACGGTGAGATCCTTCAGGGATCGCCGGTATGAGTACAAGGAGATGACGAAGAAGGCCAAGGGTGCTGTGATTGATGCCATCAAGACGGGCGATGCGAGTGAAATCAAGGCGGCGAAGGGACGAGAAGTCCTCTTTGATTCCCTCCAATTGGCTCACAAGTGCATCCTCAACTCCTTCTACGGATATGTGATGAGACGCGGCGCGCGATGGCACAGCATGCCAATGGGTGGGATTGTGTGTCTCACGGGAGCGAATATCATCACGAAAGCCCGCGAAATCATTGAGCGGGTGGGAAGACCACTAGAGTTGGATACAGATGGAATTTGGTGCATTTTGCCGGGATCATTTCCACAGAACTTCACAGTGGAGAGCACCGAGGCGAAGGGCGGGAAGTTTGTCATCTCCTATCCCAACGCCATCCTCAATGCGATGGTGAAGGATCATTTCACGAACGAACAGTACCATGAGCTCGTGACTCCTGCGTGTGACGGCAAGAGGCCGGAGTATACGAAGAGGGAGGAGAATTCGATCTTCTTCGAGGTGGACGGACCTTATCTGGCCATGGTGCTGCCGGCAGCCAAGGAAGAGGGCAAGAAGCTGAAAAAGCGCTACGCTGTGTTCAACTTCGATGGCTCAATTGCTGAGCTAAAGGGATTCGAGGTGAAGAGACGTGGAGAGTTGCAATTGATCAAGAATTTCCAGTCGTCTGTCTTCGATGCCTTCCTCCAGGGCAAGACACTGGAGGAGTCTTACGGCAGTGCCGCCAAGGTGGCCAACTACTGGCTCGATGTGCTGTACAGTCATGGCGAGAGCATGCCGGATAGCGAGCTATTTGAGCTGGTGTCTGAGAATCGCTCTATGTCGCGCAAACTGGAGGATTACGGAGTGCAGAAATCCACGTCAATCTCCACGGCGAAGCGCCTGGCGGAGTTTCTGGGAGATCAAATGATCAAGGATGCTGGATTGTCGTGCAAGTATATCATTTCAGCCAAGCCCGAAGGAGCACCGGTTACTGAGAGAGCCATTCCGCTGGCCATCTTCCAGTCAGAGGCCAGCGTGCGACGACACTATCTCTGTCGCTGGCTCAAAGATCCCAGCATGGGCGAAGCCGACCTGCGCGAAGTGCTGGACTGGAATTACTACATTGAGCGTCTGAGTGGGGCTATTCAGAAGATCATCACAATTCCCGCGGCACTGCAAGGCCTCTCGAATCCGGTGGAGCGAGTGGCTCATCCGGAGTGGCTGCACAAGAAGATTCTGCAGAAGGACGATGTGTTCAAGCAGAGGAAGATCACTGAGATCTTCAAGGCGAAGCCAAAGGAAGTGGCGGACATTGAGGACTTGGCGACTGCGCCTGTGGCTTCTGGATCACAGCAGAAGCGTCCGATGACGGTGAAGAGGAAGCGACAGGAAGTGCTCGATGGCGAGGCAACAATTGAGAGTCTCTTGGGCGCCGCGCCACCCATGGGACCTTCCCACGATGAAGTTCTCGAGTGGGTGAAGTACCAGAAGAAGAAGTGGACTCTGCAGTTGGAGCAGCGCTCGCTGGCCAAGAAGAATCGCGCGAAGCAGCAAAGATTGGAAGATGCTCCGCGTGTCGTGGATTCCCGACGATCTCGAGCCACAATTGGTGATTTTCTTCGCAAAACTCACTCCACTCTGCTCGAAACGACGTGGGAAATCATTCAGATTGCCGAGACTGATTATCCGGGGAATTTTGTCATGTGGATCCTGACGAATGGTGAGGAGTTGCACAGGATCCGACTCACTGTGCCCAGAGTGTTCTATGTGAATCAACGTGTGGCACTGAGTCAGGAGCTGGAAGAGGCTGAAAATGCAGTGTTCAAGAAAGTGCACAGAATCCTGCCACGATCCAGTCCTGTTCATCACCTGTATCGCTACCAAATCCCTGAGCAAACGTACCAAGATCGCAAGCTGGAGATGCTGATTGATCTGACAACGCCGGACATTGAGGGAATCTATGAGACGCAGACGAGTCTGATGTTCAGGAGTGTGATTGACTTGGGATGCAAGTGTGCTGTGCAGCGCAGCGAGCGCAATCGCACCACCAACAAGGACTCCTTCTCACTGGAACACCTCGAGTTCCGCAGTGACAAGGATCACACGTATCTGCAGAGCTATGGTCAGCTGAAGAAGATCTTCCTGTACCAGCACAGCAGCGCCACGGGGAAGAGAAACATGTGGGGTGTGTTTGTGCCGTCCACGAAGAAGGCCACAATTCTCGTGAGTGACTCCGTGCGAACGGATCAGATGCCAAATCTGAAGACACTCTATCACGCCGAGATAAAGAGCTTTCGTGCAAACATGCGCGAGGAGCAGAAGGATCTGCTGCCGCCAAGTGAGATGGATTTTGAGATAGTGTTCGAGACGGAAGCGAGAAATGTCCACAGAGCAATTCAGAGGATTCTCTCGGCATGCAAGCACGAGATAAAGGGACCAACGCTGCTCTTTATGCAAATATCACTGAGTCTCGCTGAATTGGTCGCCGCCATGCCTCAGTTGGCGGAGTTTCCGCAGGTGCAGATCCACATCACGGACGAGGTGTCCCTGCTGTCGGCGATCAACTGGCAACAGAATGGTTGTCGCTCCATCATAAGGCACTTCCTCAATCTGCCCACTGTGGTGGAGTCGATGCTGCGACAGTGTCGCTACTATCACATCCCCATCGGGAATATGCCAACGGATCCCATCCTCTTCGGGGCGGATCTCTTCTTCGCTCGCTATCTGCAGAAGAACAAGTTTCTCTTGTGGTGCTCTAAGACGAATCGCCCGGACCTTGGCGGCCGCGAGACGGACGACAGCCGGCTGCTGATGGAGTGCGACGATGGGAATTCTCGCGTCCAGAACCGCAGTGGCTTGTATTCCAGCATCTCCGTCGTGCTGACCATTGAGAATCTCGCCGTGAGCGCTCTGCTGCAGTCCAGCAAGATCCAGGAGGCCGAAGGCTCTTTCAATGCCGTGTCCTTTGACATGATACCCCAAGGATTTGTCGACGAGATGCTGGCCGGCCGATCGAAGGCATCGTATGATGAGTCGTCGCACTGCAATTCATCCCTGCGCGTGATGCGCCTGATGGTCAATGGATGGCTGAGGGACATTTCTCTGAATCGCAGCATTTTCTCTGACACGCAAATCATGCACTTCTATCGATGGATAAAGTCCTCGAGTGCTCTCTTCTACGATCCCGCTCTGAGGAGGACAATGTTCAATCTGGTGAGGAAGTATTTTCTGCAACTTCTGGCGGAGTTTCAGCGAATGGGAGCCACAATTGTCTTTGCCGACTTCAATAGGATAATCATCAACACAGAGAAGGAAACCACAGTGGACTCCATTAACTACATTGATTACATTGTCCAGAGTATTCGCAACAAAGAGATGTTTCACGGTGTTCATCTCACGTTCCAACAATCGTGGAAATATCTTCTGTGGATGGACAATTTCAACTATGGTGGTATTCGAGTGAATCCTGAAGTGTCTGAGGAGAATTCCCTGGAGATTGAGATGACATTCAATATTGAGAATGAATTACCGAAGGAGGGAAATTGTGCGGAGTACTTTGGGAAGCTCATCTCGGCTCTGCTCACCTCTTTGGCGACGGAGGGAAGTCTGCAGAAGGCTTTCGAGCAGCACTGCCAACGCGCATTCACAACAGTTGAGCACATCCACAAGAAATTTCCCCATCATGAGGCTAAACCAGCTCTAAAACTGGTCACAGCGCTTCACAAGATCCTCTCCGTGGCGGATCATATCACACCAGAGGTGGATTCCCTGCACAGGAATCTGCTGAAACTGATCGGTGTGGGGGAGTTCAGTGATGTGGCCACATGGAAGGACTCCAGCAACCAAATCACCCTCATGGAAGTCATCTGCAAAGCCTGCAATCACTGCCGAGACCTCAATTTGCACAATGATCCTCACAGAGCGCTCAAGGACGGAGTGTAAGTGAAGTGATTCAACTGCATATTCTCAATGACTAATGAATCCTCTTCTTCCAGGCCCGTTTGGCTCTGCTCTCAGTGCTTCGGTTGCTACAATACGGATGAAATTGAGGGAATGCTGCTGGAAATTGTCCAGCGGAAGCTCATGTCCTACACCCTGCAGGATGTCAAGTGTGTGAACTGCAAGCAAATCAAGAAGAGCAATATGATGGCCACTTGTGAGTGCACTGGCGCCTTCACGAATCTCCTGCCGCGCGAGGAACTGCAGCGCGACCTCAAGAGCTTCCTGGAAGTGTCTCAAGTGTACCGCATGACGCTGCTGGAGGACTACATCAAGTGGATTGAGAAGCTTTACTGAAGGTACAGATGATTTTATTTCTTTCTCACATAATTTGGCTGCTTCTTCGGCTTCCCATCTTCAGTGTCCTCTGCTAATCTTCTCTTGTCCTTCGCTACTTTTCGCTCGAGTTTGAGGTGTGCCTCAGAAATTTGTTTCTCTCGGTCAATTCGCTCCTTCAGCATCTTGTATGACTTCCTCTTGAGAGCATTAATCGCTTGGATGTCCTCCTCACTCACGTCCAAATCCCCCATTTTCTCTATCTGCTCCAGCGTTAAACGATTTGTCTTGTTTCCCAACAGGCGTGGGTGTGTGTTGAGTCTCTTGGCCACGTCGAAGTGCTTGAACTCATCCTTGTCCACGAAGAAAGTGTGCTTGTTCCGAGCCAGCTCAGAATCCACCATGTGGAGTTGCGATGACAATCTGTCGGCAGGAAGCGTTAGTATTGCATTTGTCAGCTCAATAAATGTGTCTTACTTGTTGATCTGGGCAGTTTCCATGGTTCTCCTCGATGTGAGATACTTGAGATCTTGCGTCTTCAGCAGCAGAGATTCCTCCGTGACCTTTTCCTTGGGCTTCCACTCGCCAAAGTCAGCAAAGTCCCGCTTCGGCTGCAAGATTCTCAACATTAGCCACGCAAAAATATCAATTAATTGAGGAAATACCTTCTGATTGATCATGTGATGATAGAACTCATCGGCATTCTTGTTCAGGGCCTTTTTCTTGAGGATTTTAATCGTCTCGCGTGTCTCCTTGTAGTGCTGCGCTCGCACTTTGTAGTCCTTTTTCTTCTCAAGAATGCCCAATTGCTTCCTGGATTCCGGCTGATGCCGCTCGCGGTGAACCTTCTGACTCATTTTCCACGCGCAAATCACACTTTAGTCGCGATTAAATGGGGATTTTGAGGGAATTTCTCAGATTGATGCAGATTGTCTGAAGGGAAGTAAACAAATACGCGACCATGTGTCGATGCTATAAAAGTCCTCCATAAAACTCGATGAGTTCGTCGAAAGAGGTTGTGATATTGGGTGGTTTACCAGTTGGTGCCCATAGAGGCGCTAGCGTCGAGCGGAAGATCAATCGAATTGTCGTCAACCAGCGACCTCACGTCGGCAAGATCTGTAGCATGTTGATGGTTATTCTGCGTAGAAACTGTGATTCTCCGCATATTTCTGCAAGAAAGTAAATATTGTGAGGTCCTGTGGACATTATTGGTGACTTGGAGTGTGTGTTGTGCAGTATTAGCGTGAGAAGGAGTGATTTTGGAGTGCATTAGGAGATTTCGCGTCTTATGTATGGACAGTCACTGTGCAGAGTCCGGCGACAGTTGATGTGTTTGTAAAGAGACGAAGTGTCGCTCGAGGATCGCACACAAATTAGGTCTTTTTGTGCCTTCGCCATTGCATCAGGAGTGCTGAAAAGTGTTGAAAACTATCTACAAACATCTCATTGGCACACAGTGAGTGTTTTCCGTGCAAGCAGGAGTGTTCTTATCCCAGTTTTGTGCAATAACAGTGGAGATGAGTGCATAGAAATTCGTGTAGCGACACCTACACAGACAAATGGTGCGATAGGGCAAAAAAAAAAGAGAAAAACACTCTCGGGCTTGTTATCAATGAGAAAATAAAGAGGAGGTAGAAAAAAGTCGTCACCAAGAAGCTATTTTAGCCACAGAGAGCCAACAACGCTATAAAAGTGGAAGTATCTGGACGAGATCTGCATGAGAATTTTCAATTACTCCGTGACACTGAAGCAGCAATCTTCCACCTGTGGTGAGGCTTTTTTCTCCACTATTCCCTCTCCCTGTGCGTCCCTCTCCCTCTCCCACTTGCCATTTTCCCTCCTGTTTTCCATCAGTCGGTCAACAGAGGTCCCCCTTTGGCTGCAATGCACAGTGATTTGCCCCCGCCGAGCGGCCGCGCCGAGGCCTAGAGTGCGCGAGCGAGGGGAAAAAGGGTCTCTCGGCAGCGTTCATTGAAGACTTCCATTCATACAGAGTGTTCATTCATGAGAATGTGTATTTATAGTTTGCCGAGAGATGCGAGAGAGCGCGCGATCCCAGAGTGCTGAGCAACTTTTTCTCTGTGGCGATCATCAACGCCGAGGGGCACAAAACTCGTCCCGTGACGCCTCTATAGCTCCCATCTCTCTCCTTCTCTCTCTCTCCCCCCTCGCTCTGTCCCGCTCTGTTGCACGGCGCGAACAAGTGCGAGAGCAAAATGATTCTCAGCTCGGGAAAAGCGGGCAAAAAGTGCCCCCTGTCTTTCTGGTGCGACCTTTTATTAATTAATTACTGTCTCTCCCCACCTTTGTCGGCGAGGGGCGGCGGGGGAGGAAGAGGCCAGCGAAAAACAAGCGCGCGCTTCCATATCAAAATCTCACCACGTAGACTAAATGGTTGTGGACGGTAAATACATGAAATTCGATTAGAAATTGATTAAATTCCCATGAGTTTGTGTTAAATTCTCCGGAGTGTGTGAATCAGAATTGATGGAAAAAACACAAGAGAGATAATTCACGAGGCGCGATACAAGTCGCATTCTAAGAAAAATGTCGAAAAACCACACACGCGAAAATGTGTACACAGAGTCTCAGCCACACAGTGATTGTTTCCTGGGTTTTCCCCCGTCAAAGGGGGCCCCCATGCTGACGGGGGCCCCTCAAGAGCGTCAATCTCTCTGGGTGATGTTGAGATTTCCAGGGCGAAATGAGGGTATGTGTTCTTTGTCTTCGCCAGCAAGACAGTGTCTCGTCTTTTTTGCCCTGTATCTTCGTGCGCCTCATTCACCATTCTCCGGTCTATTTACACTTTTTCTCCCCTTGTTCACCTGTACTCGAGTCTCTCAAGTGCAAGATGATCTTCTTTGTGGCTCGGGGAAAGGCGAGAGGGGAACCACGAATGGGATCTGAGTGAAAGAAGAGCTTCGAAAGAGGTCGCACAGAGTTGCGAAGATACACATAAACACCATGTGATAAGTCACTGCGTTGCTCAGCTTATGAGCTTGGCGTTCTGGGAGCAAACTCGAGATGAGACAAGCTCAATGGCAAGGACAGGAGGGAACTTGGATGTCAGACAAGGCGTCAAATATTATTATGGAAAATTCCCAGATTTGCTTTCGAGCGACGTATTGATTCCAAGATAAAAAGAACTAGAATTTTTTACTCTTGCATGTTCGAGAGGCCAATAAGATGACTAAAATCAGGGAAATAACGTTTTATAAACACATGAAAATACTTTTTAAAGGCAACACGCAACATATTTAGCTAAAAATTCAAGAGGCATTGAAGCTAAATTTTGCAATCTTGTTAATCTGCAAAGCGTGGTTTGGATTTTCCCTAGCATTCCATATTCCTGGACTCAACAAGGTTGAACTTTTAGAGACAGTCTAAAGATTGAAGTGGGATAAGAAATATCAGCTTTGAAATTTTGAGCACTTTGCAGTGAAGGGACAAAAGAGGGTCAATAAAATGTCGTCTCTGACAATGCGTAGGACGCACAGGATCGAGAGATTCGTCTTTTGATAAGACTTTCAGTGAAAGTCTACCTTTTATGACCTTTTTCCGGGGAGGTCAAGTGTGTTGAATGTGCGTCTGATGTTTGCATTCTCTCCACAGTATTCGCGAGGAGCCATGGCTTTGGAAATAACTGAGGAGTTGGACAACTACTCACTTCAGGATTCGACATTCTACGATACCCTCAGTGGTGGCGATAAGAGGATGTCTGCCAATAATTTCCCGAAGCCGGTTAAGCAGAAGAAAACTGTGACTTTCCTCCCCATTTATCCGACAAAGGTAACATTTTGTTGAAGAATGCGCGCACTGATTGCGGGGAAATTCAATCAACCTTCCACCCTTTCCGCATTACAGGATCAGGATGAGCCACTTGTGCGTATCAAAGAGGAGCCTGACTTCGACGGTGTCAAGGGTATGCAGAAAGTGCCGAGTCTCTCAGATTTATCCGACACTGAATCCTCCATCGGTGAGTGATGTCCCTTATCTATTGCCTATTACCGTTGAGTGGATGTATTTTCATATGAAAACCTTGCGCTCGGGTGACGGTTTTTTATTCTGGTCGAGTGAGGGAAGAGCGAACTATATCACTCCTCCGCCTAATGGAGATGAATGAGTACCATTAAGCGGTGTTTTTCCACTGGAAATCTAATTTTCAAAAATAACACGACAAATGTGGGAACACGAGATAGGGAGTAATAAAATGATTGGCTTTTAAAATGGTCTCTCTTGGCATCATTGATTTAATTATGCGTCCACTTGTTGTGTGCTCAAGAGTTTTTACCTCGAATATAATGCATCTCTCGACCCACGCATTTGTTCTATTTTTCACCCGTGCTCAATTGCCGCATGCACAAAGTGACTGAGCGAGGGTGTGAGAGAACAAGAGGGAGTGAGTGAGAGAGTGCCGAGGGCGGAGAAATGTGATCACCCACCCTGTCACATGTTGCACAAATTTCTCTGTGACTAAATGAGAAAATGGGGGTGCCTTTTCCGCATTGTGAAACCGAGCAACAAGACGATCAGTGTATTTTTATTGACACAGCACAAAATATCCCCCCGAGGGATGTTCGACGAGCGGACGCAAATAAAATGAGTAAAGTGTGGTAGAGCCTTTTGAAAATTAGCCTACAGCATTAATTACATTCTGGGGCTTTCGATGGGTAAATATTCATCATAGCCAAAGCATTTTCACCGCGATGTGATAATGGCAATTCACGCATTTTCCACAATAATATAAAATCTCTCCCAACAAGTTCATCCACCTTCAATCTATTTTCTCGCCCGTTGGTGTTGAAGATTCTATTTACAAATTAATAGAAAAAAAAAATAAAAGAAAGGAGACGGAAGACAAGAAAGAAAAGAGATTTTTATTATTTCTTACAACATCCAAATAATATTGTAATTATTTTTCTCTTTGGTCTTTTTACCAACCAAATAGTTAATTTGATTTTTCCTTTTATCTCATCCACCAGTAATAGCGAGTGTTTGATTTTATACTCTTCTCTCTCTCTCCTTTTTTCATAGTAAAATTACATACATGGCAAAGGGAAGCGCGCGGAGATAATTTAATTGATGTGGGTGGAATGGTGAGAAGTGAGGGAAGCGGAGGAGGGAAGACTGATGCACATAACTAAAATAGTTGAAGCTTATCATATGCTTATATGCGAATATAAAAGAAAAGCCTCTGAGTAGAGAAACAAAGTAACTCCAAAAGGTTCTTGTTTGTTTACATTTTTTGTAATTGTGCTGTAACAAGACGCAGTTTGAAAAGCCAAAGTGAAGAAAAAAGAAGATTCTTTTGATATAAAAGAGTAAATTTCATCATTGAATGTTGCAGAGGTTCTGAAGCGAAGGGGAGAAGAAGGAGGAGGAGAGGAAGGTGGAAAATGTGCCTTGAATTTTCTCTGTGTCGGACCTCATGGAAAATTTATAAACATTTTTCCCTATAATTTTCATTCCTCTTGTTTCTGCACTCTATATATTGAAAATGCCGTGGAGGAGGAGGAGGAAAAAAAACTTCACACAACTGCGGGGATTTAATAATATAAACACTGAAACCATTTTGATTATTAAATAAGAAAATGCTATTTTTTCCTCTTCTCTCTCGCTCGCACGCACACTCTGTTTAATTTTTCTTCACTCAGCAATAATAAAAATTAGAATTTTACATGAAAATTATTCCGTACACATGCTCGAAATGGGATGGCAAGTGTAAATATCATTTACCTACCAGTAAATTTAGTCCATCAAAATTGTTTGGATTGAAATGACTCTGTTTTATATTATTGCTCCTTCTGTATAATATCTTCTCTATCATTCAATTTGGGCGGTGAAGAGTGTGTGTGAGAGAGAGAGAGAGAGAGAATGAATAAAAAATTGTCCTTATATTATTTTTATATTCTCTGTCCAGTGTTAAATTGTGAACTGAAGAGTGTGTATGAGAAATTGCTTAAATTG